ATAAAATGTCGGCCCCGCCGGCTTCCCCTGGCCCGTCAGGAAGCATGTGACAAGGCAGTGTTGGGCATGTTGCAAGCTGGCATTATCGAACCTTCGGACAGCCCCTGGGCGGCTGCTGTTGTCATGGTGCCCAAAAAGAATGGAGAGTGGCGCCTGTGTGCTGATTACAGGCCGCTGAATGGGGTAACAGAGAAAGACTCATACCCACTGCCTAGGGTCGATGAGTCACTGGACCTGGTGTCCGGCTCCAACTGGTTCTCATCTCTGGACCTTCGGAGCGGTTATTACCAGGTCCCCTTATTGACAGGTGCCAGACCAAAGACTGCTTTTTGCACTGGACGGGGACTTTGGCAGTTTAAAGTGCTCTCATTTGGGCTGTGCAATGCACCTGCCACCTTCTCCAGGCTGATGGACCGGGTGCTAGCTGACATCCCTCGCCAAGAGTGCCTGGTGTATCTGGATGACATACTGGTCCATGGCACCTCTTTTGCAGTGGCTCTTGGCTCACTCCGTCGGGTGTTGGAGAGAATTAGAGCAGCAGGCCTGAGACTCCACCCAGATAAATGTCATTTCATGCAACAAGAAGTTACATTTCTGGGCCACCGTGTTGGAAGAGAGGGAATCAGCACAATGGAGGACAAAGTAAAGATGGTGGCAGAGTGGCCAATCCCCGCAACTCAGAGAGATCTTAAAAGTTTCCTGGGGCTGGCTTTTTATTACCGGAGGTTTGTGCGGGGCTTTGCAAGTATAGCGGCTCCTCTGTTCCAACTCCTCCAGAAGAACCGAGACTACGTGTGGACTGAACAGTGCCAGGGGGCATTTGACTGTCTGCGTCAAACTCTGACTGAGGCCCCAGTTCTTGCTCCTGCTGATCCCTCTCTCCCTTTCATCCTTGACACGGATGCAAGTAACGTAGGGGTAGGGGGGGTCCTTTCCCAGTTAGGAGAGGAGGGAGAGAGAGTGGTAGGGTATTTCAGCAGGGCCTTTAACAAAGCAGAGAAGCGCTACTGTGTGACAAGGCGGGAGCTGCTGGCAGTAGTACTTTCTCTGCGCCATTTTAAGTACTACCTGTGTGGCCTGCCTTTCACTATAAGGACAGACCACTCTGCTCTCCAATGGCTGGTGTCTTTTAAAGAACCTGAGGGTCAGGTGGCCCGGTGGCTGGAAGAGTTGCAGTCCTACAACTTCTCAGTTGTCCATCGGGCTGGAGCTAAGCACGCTAATGCCGATACTCTCTCCTGTCGCCCTTGTGCTGCAGGGGGATGCAGTTACTGTGACCAGAGAGAGAGGCTGGAGGAGGAACAGCAGCAACGCAGCCAGCCAGGATCATGCCAGGGTGACTCAGTAATCTGCAGGGAACTGCAGGCAGTTGGC